CTCCCGCGAGGAGCGCGCACGCATTGCCGCAGCCGGGCCCGGACCAGTACCAGGCATTGCCCAAGGCAGGCCTGCAGCAGTGCGCGCACCTGCACCCATTGCCGGTGGTGGCCGTGGGCGCGGTGAACGCGCCATCAACAACAACGCGTGCGATAGGGGACGCGACGGGGGCCTTGCACCAGTTCAGCGCCAACGTTCTCGCTCCCCGCCGCGCCTCGAGGTCGCCGCCCACGCCACGTGATCGGACGCCACCACGTCGCTCACCTGCCAAGGACAGCGACGCTGCCATCATTGAGTTTGGCAACGGCATCCGCATCACCCTTCCCAAGTCCCGTCGCTAGGGGTGAGGAAAGACATTGTGGTTGCTTTCTTGGGTCGTGTGACCGTCCCGCTGTTTCTGCTTGAGCGTGTCACTTTTACGCCTACTTGCAGTTACACCGCGGGACTCACCTGACTACCGAAACCTGCGTTCTCAAAGCAAAACGCTGCGAGACCAGGGGGTGATATCCCGCGGAAGGGATTGTGGAGGCAAGTAGACCAGTGCCACTTGCCGGCCGGGAGCTTTCTGCCCGGTTTGTCGAACAACGAACTTCGGTTTGCTCGGTTGAACAGCTTGCTTCGGCTTGCTCGGACGGACAGCTTGCTTCGGCTTGCTAGGGCGGACAGTGAACTTTGGTTCATGGACGGACAGCTTGCTTTGGCTTGCTAGGCACTGGTACTTGGAGTTGACTTGGAACGGTCGACCTGACCACGTTGTGGCAGCTTCTCAGCTGCACAATGGGCCCGATATTTATCAGCACATAAACTCTGTTTGGTGGCCTCGTTTGGTGGTAGACGGTCTTGCTGTCAATCTCATGAGTGGTCCTCACTCTGGGGGGTACGACTTGTGCTCCAGACGCGTTGCGCCTAGGCAAGAGGAAGTCAGTCTTCTAAAGGGAATCGGGCAGTGAGCATCGAATCGAGGTCGATCAAAGCAGCCACGGCTTTAGGGAAGAGTCGCTTTTTCCGTTTCAAAGTCTGTTCTTTGAAGGACTTGACGACATGGACAATACTATTAGTAGTACTTTCCGTCCCGGGGGGGTGGTCTTTACTGGTGATCCTGCAGGTCCGAGTTTACAAAGTCTCCGCCAGGCGTGGAGGGCTAAGGAGGTAGAATTAAAACTCAAGCCACAGTCAGAAGAGCTGTTGAATGACAATGACCGGTTCCACCTTGCAGTTGGGAGGAGGGGCACGAGAACGGGTGTTCCATTTGGAGAGTACAATGGAGGTGGAGCTGTCAGCTGCAAATGCGCCAGCACGGGCCCAATTTGCGACGCGCACTAGGGCTTGGCAACTTGAGTGTGAGTTGTGGGATGGTAAAACTTAGGCTAAGCGCGGTGACACAGTGCGGCCTGTACCGCCAGTGGCACCTGCTTTTGAGAAGCTGTACTTTCAGCCAATGGAAAGGTTCTGGGCAATGCTTGAGGAGTTCATCGGAAGGTTGAGAGCAAGCTTCGAAGTCGCTGTCGCGGCGTTGCTGCAAACCGGGCGATTTCCTGAATAACCGGGCAGCGCCGCCGGGTCGCCACGGCGACCGACGCGAAAGCGTGAATGCCTTCGCAGCGACGCGAGGGTGTTACACACTTGCGCCGTCGCAGCCTGTCGACTCGCGCGCACGTGCGGCAAAATTTGCCAAATTTAAAATTTCACCGTCGATGAAAATTACGATCGAGAATCGGCGTCCAGAATTTGCCCCGCAGCTTTCGGGAAGCGCTTTCGCGGCGCTGAACACTTGAATTGTCGCAGCGCCTTGACGGCGCTGCGGTAGCTGGGGCTCACCCTTCCGATGTTGTATCATGAACGTTCGAGCGCCAAGATAAGCGAGTACAACCTGTTCACGCAGAACAAGGGAGAGTCGCTGGCGAACATGTTTCAGAGAATGAAGTTCCTCATGGTCACTCTCAACCAACCCGAGCAGAAAAGCGTGTTCAAGCTGCTAGACTGTGTCAAGGCCAAGCACATGGCCAGCGAAGTCGAGAGTCATTTGAATCACCTGCATTTGGATCCGAACCTGTGGACGGTTGACCAAGTGTCCAACATAGCGCTCCAAATTGAACGCGGACGCAGTGAAAAGGAACTCTGAACAGGCAAATCCAGTCACTCTGACAATGTGAGCAACAAGTCTGGCAGCAGTATTTTTGGTGGTGGGTCCGCAAAGACACGCAAGCATGTCATAACTGCGGCGACCCTAACCACTTGCAGTACGCGTGTCCCCATCCCCCACGGGGAAAGCCCAAGCCCGCCAAGCCAATCACCTCTGTTGCGCGTTTTGCCAATCCGAGGGCTACGCAGATAAGGCGTGTTACACATGTGGCGAGACAAGCCACATTTCAAGGGACTGCACGAAGCGGCAAGCTGGCGGCAAGATGTCGAAGAGGGAGAAGGAAAAGCCGTGGTGCTCGCACCACAACATTAACACTCACTCGACAGAGCAATGCTGGGCACTGCATTCAGAACTGGCGCCAAACTTTGCTAGGGAGAAGCCGCAAGTCAAGCATGCGCAATCGGCAAAGAAAGCTACGGAGGCTGACTTTGCGAGCATGTCCGCAGCAGACAAGCAGACAGCCTATGAAGATTGGCAGGCAAAACAGTCTGGGTGGGACGGTCCTGCCGACGCCTACACGGGTGAGGTCATTGAGCTGAACGAACCCCTTGTTCCTGCTCTTGCTGCAGGTACGGAGAAGAAATGGCGGTCGTCTGAGACGCAGAGGTTGAAGGGCGTCCATGGCAACATGCCGCTGAACTTCCTGCCCTGCGACGCCACTTCCACTGCGCGTCTCAGAGGGGGGAAGGACCTGGAGTACGATCCGTTTCAGGTTTTAGCTGATCAAGGTGAGACCGAGACCGCCGGGAGCCCCGCCAAAGACGCTTGAAAAGGCGCATGGCGCATGTGGAGATAGCGAGTTGCCTCAGTCGTTTCGGGAGCTTGCCCAAACGGACTCCAGGTATGAGGGAAAGGCTGAGTATCAGCTGCCGACGTCGCAAGTGGTGCAGAGTCCGGATCTTGAGGCTGAGATTCCGGGTGAAAAATTTGTAAGCGACCTGTTTGGAATTCAAAAACCCTTGTACGGGTACCGAAATGCTGCCAGCACGGATGGTTTGACCAGCGACAGGTCGGACAGTGAGGCCCAGTTAGGGCCAGACTGTGACGTTTGGGCTATGGTTAAGTCTAATCGCTCTAACGCACGAGGTTAAGTCCGCTGTCACCTAGTGACATGTGGCAAGTGAAGTCCACTGTCGTGTTGTGACACGTGGCAAGTGTCGAAGTAATATTCGATAACAGTTATTATTGGATACGTCGACAGTAGTATAGGTAGAGCTACTAGACTAGCATGTCTCTTGCATGACCAGGATTGCTTGGCATGGCGCAGGACGCTCTATTTTGAAGTCAGAAGTATGCTATTTGCCACGCTCGAAGGACGTCATGGAGATGACTAGACGCAGCCATGGGCTTTGCCCAAGTCTGCCTCTCTACGATTCGTGATTGACTGAACGCAGGCATAAACAAGACTCTGGAATCTTGAAGGATGTTCTGAGGGACTTGTCCAACAAGAGGACAGAAGTTGTCTTGGGCAGAAAGACGACAATTTTTCTGAGCTGCGCCATCGCTTGAGAACGTCTGCTTCCATGGTGTCCGCACATGGTTGCTGATCGTGTCGTGTAACTCAGCCAGCACTTCGCATATAGCTGGCCAACCATCACATTGGTATCAGAGGTTTGTGTTCTAATCTCTTGCGAGATTGGATTTGGGTCCATGTCGAAGAAGGAGTGCATCGCTTCGTCTCTTGATCGGATTACGGATCTGTGTTTTACGATCTCTAAGTTAGCGATTGGCAAAGACTCTGAGGAGGAAGCATCTGCGAAGGCTTCCACGAGTGCTCTTAGTCCTGAGGCTGCAGTCTTGTAGACTTCACGCAAAGGGAAGGAGAAGGTCTCTGGCGAAGAGGAAAGTGCTATTTTGGAGGATTGGGAAAGTGTTCCCGATCTGCCATCTGAGAGTGACGTGCCTCCTTCCTATTGTCAGGTTGTTGGGGGTAGCTCTCAATCTGTGTATATCACTCCTGTCAGTCGGGAGGTGGGGAGTCAGTCTATTGATTCAGGGGAATCTTTAGCTATGGCGGCCAACTTGCCAAACTTTGCGGCTATGACGGTTGCCCAGTTTGACCAGTACTATAATGGTCTTCTGACAAATCCTGCCAGGATTGCGGCTGAGACGGAGGCCCTGACACATGGCAGTGACGCCATTAGGATCTCTGTGTTGCTGAAGCGTGATAATCGTAATCACGCTGATCGTACAGCGATGCAGGGCCAGTTGCAGCAGGCTCAGGCTACGGCTGCACAAGCACAGCAGCAAGCTGCGGCTGCTGCTGCTACTCAGGCCCAGGCTGTTGCAGCTGCTGCAGGGCGGGTAAAGGCCTCGCCTCCTTCCAAGTGGGAGAATGAGGCGAGCAACCCGCCCATTTTGGAATGGTTCGATCAGATCGAAGAGTATCTTCGGAGCACGCCTAACGCTGAGTATTTGCGCCTGACGTCTTCATATCCGAATGGGAAGCCAAGATCGTATTGGTCTTCCCAGTATGCTGTGTATCAACGTGCGAACCCAGGATTGCATCCTCAGAATGCTCGTCGGTTTTTCAGGGACACCATGACTCGTGGGTATGGTCTGCGGACTCCCGCTCAGTCTTATTGGGATACCTGGAATAATCTCAAGTAGGGTTCCTCAAGTGTGGATGTGTACAACGTTGCTTTCGAGCAAGCTGCTACTAACCTTGCCGCTGAGATTACAAACGAGCAGATCAAGATCGAAAAGTATCGGTCTGGTCTCCAAGTGGATCTAAAGGAGTTGTGCAGAACGTCTCCCAATGGTACTCGTTGGAATCCTCTGCGTGATCTTATGCAGTATGCTACTTTGCAGTGGCCCATGATCGAGGAACGCTTGAAGCCTGCACAGTCCACCAAGTTGGTGGCTGGCAAACGTAAGGCGTCCGGAAGTGGCTCCGGGATGACGTCGAAGGCGCGGCTGTCTGCTGTGCCTTTTCGGACGAGCAGTACGCTCACAACATGGCGAACCGCCTGTGCCACAACTGCGGGAAGCCATCCCATAATGCAGCAGACTGTACTGAGGAGCCTCAGCATAGCAGCAACAATGGAAAGAAAAAGAAGAAGGGTAGAAAGGATTTTCAGAAACGCTAGGCAGTGCAGGACTGTTGTCTAGTGTTGATAACTATGTGTTAGATCTGTGAGAAGAAGACTTCTTGAACATATCAAACATTACTGGTCGTATCTTTGATATGGGAGTTCGTCGTTCTGAGGATTCTATTTCCACAGATGTATGTCCTAACTCAGACTTCCTTTCATCTTCGATTTCAGGCAAGCACGTGTGGTTAAGTGCCAGTTCGGTCAAACATTTGACAGAATGTGTTAGGCATTTCCATTCTGCGTTTGATGATAATCCTACTGCCACGCCAGCATGTGTTTTGATTCGTGATAGCATGCCTGTGCCTTTGCCAATGTTAAAGGATTTCTCTGTTATACTGACGGTTCCTAAAGGCGGTTTGGTCCGTCAACTGCAGCCAGATGACACGTGGCAGGTTGTTCGAAGTCTAGAGAAGCTACGAGTATTGTATCTTGCTTCTGTTGTTGACAAAGTGTCTGCTAAGCAGGTTTACTCACAGAAAGTATTCTGTCAGCCGCTCGAAAGGGCTCGAAGCCAAGTAAGACGCCACGGACGATGTTTTCCGGAAAGGCAGCTGCAG